TATACATAGTCAAAGAAACGCCCATTCATTCATTCATTCATTCTGACTGACTTTATGAAGGAGATCGCAGGAAATGACGACAGAACAGCTAAAAAAGACATCTCACACCGTGCAAGATTCTGGTTATTTTGGGGAGGTCGAGATAAATCATATTGTTTGGTGGATGCCGTTTGAACCAGAGTAGCAGCATGGAGGTCGGATCGTCACCAAAATAAATAAATAAATGGCCCGAAAAAGGCTAATGACAAAAACAATACACATAGCCTTCCTCAGGCAGTGTGTTTGTACCGGGGACAGGAGACACACCCTTGATGAGAAACTGTAAGAAATGATCGGGGAATCCCTCCGGAGTGGAGTCATGACGACTGGATCTGAATTATGTTTTTGTATTTGGTGGTTTGTGTCCCAGCTGTCGATCAGCTGTGCGCAGCGTTTCCACAGCAGCCTGTGCATCTCAACGCCCCCCTCAACCCCCCCCCCCCCCCCGCAGCAACTCTATATCCACCAGTTAAAGGAAATGCAACTAATGTGTTGTGTTATATTAGCTGTACAATTGACCACATATGGTGTTCTTAGCTTCCATACCTCCTGTGTTTTACGAGCGACTTATCAAGTCTTGGCAAATGGCATAAAACACGATTAAACATGATAGTATATAAAACCATGCTCGTATCACAACCTATAGAAATGCAAAACGACGTCAGTTTAGACGTAATTCTGTCCTCCTGCTTACCGCATCATTTATGAGAAAACATTTCATAACATTAACACAACATATTCGAGGTGGTTTGAAATAACATACCCGTATTTATTTATTTCTCCAAGTTATGTTTTTGTGTGCACTGAACAGGTGTTTGTTTAATCATTTTAAGATTGGCTTTAATCAATGTTTGAAAATGAATTCTTCATATATGATAAATGAGAGGTAACATTTTATTTATGGTATTATTTCCACATATTTCTCTCCATTCTTTCTTCTGCCAACGGTGTCGCAGTTTCTCGTCTCTCCCGTTGTTGTGCTTAGTGCGTACGCATGGGTTAGAGTTTGCGTGGAGGACTGCACATTTTCCCGTGAAGTTAGTATTTTATAAATCGCAAATATTGCGTAGAAACTGGCGTACGCCATCTTTTGAGCGTATATCCCTTTATAAATGAGGCCCTTAGACCCTGCCGTCATTATTTAGAGAGGTAGGGGTCGCGGAGCTTATCAGTGAGAGGAAACGGTGATCCTGTAAGCTTGTGTTGGAAGCTTGTAAAGCCATCCTGTCTCTACCTCCACCATTATCTTGGAAAGCACCGTTGCAACATCCGACTGATCTCGATTGAGGTTGTTCAGATGTGTTGTCCTTGTTGTGTGCATTAACGTATCCTAAAATGTGCAGAGAGAAAACTGCTCACACTCACTCTCTAATCTCAGTGTGTCATTTATTTCTTACATGTATGTGCCATTATCTTACTTGACACACTGCAGGAAAACTTCTGACTGTTTCTGCAGATGACGTTTAACATAATCAATTTCTCAGACTCTCCAACAACAACGTTTTAAAAGCACTATGAGCTGGACAAAGAAGAACTGGGATGGCGAGACAAACTAATAACAGACAAAGAGAAAAGGAAGAATGGCTAAAATGGGGACATAACATAATAATCTAAATATTAAATAGAGCTGCTGGACTGAAGAAGAAGTTGAATTGAATCTGGGACATTGATGAGACTTGATGGATCATTCAGTCAGTATTTAATCAGTCAATCAGCCGAGCTCATGAATAATTCACTTGATGCTGGTAATGTGTCAATTTGCCTTCAGATGCTCCTGTGGCTGTTTGCACTTGCGTGGGAGAATTGACAGCTCTCTATGCCGCACTTTTCAATCAGGACAGGTCCTTAGCTGAGCGAAATTATATAAGATAAAGCCATTTCACAGTCAAGCTCGAAGGATATTTCTCACACACAAAATGGTGAAGAGGAGGCTAAGTGTGGGAGGGTGAGATGAAACCCTTTTGGTTTTTCTCGTCTGGGTTTTTTATTTTTCATCTGAAGTGTAAGGCTATTTTTGCCCGGGGACATGTTAAGCTGTGGACCTCTCAGCTCCAGTTACACTGAGGCCTTCAAAGGAAGAGGAGGGAAGATGAAGGCGAAGAGACAAAACAGAGAGGAAGGGGAGCAGGAACACAACACAGGAAAGAAAAAGACCAAGAAAATATCTCAGAACAAAATTAAGAGACAACTGTAGATGGTTTCTGCCAAGTTCTGTGATTACGTCCACATTCATGAAAGACTTTCACGGTCGTCTAATTACAGTTATTGCACACTCATTTAATTTTTTATTAGGATTTAGTTTATTAGGATTACTTTTTAATGAGGTGGTAGTGCTTATTATTACCATGTCCACTAATCTGTTTGTTCTCTTTGTGTTACGACAAAACAACTATCCATACTGGATGAGTTGAAATTCGAGAATGGGGGAGGGTTTACTTTTGCATTTTGGGGTTTCCAATCTCTACTGCTCAATCTATGCTTGTTGTGACATCATTGTTTTGATGTTCATACCATGATGGTAAGGGTTAGTGTTTAAGGTCTAGGCTTCTTTGAGAATACTAAATAGTGCTGGGAAGCCTTTTTTTTTAACCCTTAGATGCATAAGTGGGTCTTTTTTGACCCGGTGAGGTGGTTTTCTTGAAGTATCTTTGTAATTGCATTTTTTTTTTTATCATTTCATATTCCAGCTATTCCTCAGAAAACATGTTTTGGATATCATGCGATACAAATTTCAAATTTACATTTTAAGAAATTTTAGTTTGTGTATTACTACCCCAAGCTTCCATAAGTGGGTCAAAAATGACCCGCATGCATTTTCTATGGAATTTCGTTTTTTTTTCCAGATGTAAAAAAAATGTCAAATTTATAAATAGTGAAAAATTAAATATAAAATATTTCTAGGGTGAACCAAAATATAATACTAAATGTTATACAAGTGATTTTTCTTAACCAAAATGACAAAAATTGCATAGAAACACATTGTCCTTTTTGACCCACTTATGGAAGAGTGTAGGGTCCAGTCAATCGTGCATCTAAGGGTTACGGAGCGTCCACACAGCAGCGTGCGTTGACGCTTGAAGCTGGGCGTATCTGAAGCTTGGGGTTTTTTTGCGAGCAATGCGACCAACAACCAATCACATGAATCTCCCGCCCCCGACATACAAAGCAATAGCAATGTTAAAACGAAGTAAACTGGATATAAAATCCCCAAACAGGCGAAAACCTACCAGTTTCATCCACTGTCTCTGCCACCTCCCTCCATGCCTCGCTCCTCCGGTTTGTATCCCGGTAGATGAACAGAGACTGATCATACAGCACCGGGTGATTCACTACCGCTATAATGAATTTTCCCTCCATTTTTTTGAATATGAGGAAATGACCTGCGTAGTCTCTCCCAGCATACACGCGGTTTGATTGGCTAGTGCTACTGGCAGATTTGCATAAACGGGATTTCATTGGCTGACGCCTCCGTCGAGGCGTCAAAAGTTGAACATTGCTCAACTTTTTACGCCAGCTACACCAGCAACGCTCCACGTCGCTTCCCAAAATGCAGTTTGGCTAAAAGTGACGTCACCCCATTCAAAGTGAATGGGCAGAAGCGTTGGAAGCTTCAACGCACGCCGCTGTGTGGACGGGCCGTTAAAGACATCATAGATATCCAGAAGTCCACTGTCCAAAACTTGTGAAAAAAATCACAAATTGTTCAACCTTGAGAATGATTCATAGTCTTCAAAGACGCTTCCATCCTGCCACTTGAAAGAGGTATGCCCCAATGAAGGCCTGTCACAAAGTCAGTGCTCCAAGCAGTCAGGGATACGGTGCCTTGCCCAGGGGCAGTGCCCAGTGGGTACACTGGCATTTGTTCAACTTCCACATCACAACATAGTTGCTGCTCAATGCGAAACCTCCAGTTCCCAAGCCACCCACCTGACTGAGCTACTGCCTCAGGGTCAGTTTAAGGACAATGTCCAGGAGACAAGGCCATTTTGTTTGGTTGTTATATTTTTAGGGCTGTATCGTTCTTTCGTCATTCAGAGATGAATTTGTGTTGAAACAGGGGTCTAACAGGGTTTGTTGAATATTGGACCCTGTAAACTGGTGTTGGGGATTATAGACCACAACAGGGCTTGTCATTGGTTGGACTCAAAACTCTTTAATGCAATACAAACTTGGGAAGAATGGTACAGCATTGTGCTGTAAATGAAATAATTAATGACTGATGAATGAAGTAGTAACCTAGTATGGTATAAGTACACTAATGGCGCATTTCTTATGAAAACAAAATATTGTAATATATTGGTAAATATAATACAATATACTGGATCATACATTTCCATATATGGGAAAGTAGTCCTTATATTTTTAAATATATTGCAATATATGCATGGACCATGTATGGCTATATATTGATATAAAAAAATATTGCAATGAAAACAAAAACTGCACTATACATTTCAAATGTAATAGTTTTATTGAAACACTCATTTATCTTTCATGAGTTACACAAGTTTACATAAAATTGAACAGATATTCATAAACAGTTATCTCACTTCGTTTTGTATAGTTACCCACTTTATATATGAACATATGTTTGATGGTATATATTAAAAAAGTGCAAATACTCCATTATCCATTGAATGATGGAAAATAATATACAGTTTATAAATGCATATATGCACGCATATGCATATATGTGCATATATATATATATGCACATATATGCACATATTTTTTCATTCTTGAATATACTATAATATACTTTCTTCTTATTTATATTTGTTTAATATATATGTTTATTTTGAAATTGAAAATAACGCAGTACTGAGATATTCTTGGAAATTCAATTAGAATCCATAAAACAGCTTGCGTTTGGATTCTGGTTACGGCCGACCGGCTATTTGGAGTGGAATGCAGCCCATCCACGGCAGTAAGCCCAAACAGTAATCGAATGCGCCACTTCCGGCTGACAGTGGCTGACCTCCGTCTTCGCTAAACAAATATGTTTTATAACTCTCTAAAACGTGTTAACGTTCTCATTGGACACATTACGTGCCAGTGATCATCACCAATCAATCTCACAGATTTCGGGGAGGACCCCCCCCTTCTCCAGCAATAGATTGATCTGATTGGTAGATTCAAATGTGCGTTTCCGCCTCTGTCTGTTGATGATGGCGCTTGTCAAAGAGAAATCATTCATCAGGTGCTTTGAAACAGAACATTAAAAAGAAACGAGAGGAAGATACAGCACGAGAGAGGTATGTGTGTGAGCATTTAAAACTATTTTAAATTGAAATAATTCTGCATGTACACTACAAGTAGTCTCGTTGCTTAATCCGTATGTCCCGTCTCTCGGCACTACAACAGCTACATTAGCTAACGTTAGTTAAATTAGCTATGTTAGTTCCCTAGTGTATAACCGGTCCGCAGCTTTGTGAACATTCCATTTAGAAGATTTTCGATGTTACAGTCAACTGAAGTCGACCCAAAACAGCCAAAAATAGTGGACCTCAGGGCTCGACAGTAACGGTTGCCAGGTTGCCATTGGCAACCATTCAGAAAAAATGTCAACCAGTTCTTGGCCTTTGGTTGCCATCAGTGGAAACCAGTTTTTAACATGAAGAAATAAGGACAGCAAACAGCTAAATGTGCACCCCAAAATAGATAAATGTTAATTATTTGTTGTGTTAAGAGTGATATTTAATTATTGTTGTGACCAGTCGGAACCTGATACTTAAGTTGCACGTGCATTGGTGTGATTACGGAGCCAGAAAGCGATGCACGTTTACTCACGTGCGCGGTGCGCCGTGTGTTTGTTTTACAAAAAATGGCGAAGCAAATTAAGTTGTTTGACTGTGGGGTAAAAAGTTCGGCCAACCCGTCAACATCTCAAACGAATGTTCAAAGTGATTCAACTGATAAAGCGCAAGGTGAGCCCGAACGAAAGCAAAGAGGACATGTGTAAAGTCTTGGGAGGCGAAATATATATGTACATTCTGCTCCGTTGTGCATTCACTTCTGGTAAAAGTTCCTTCAAAATAAGAGTCCTGATCTTATTACTACCAAAATAAAAGTGCTAAACAAAACTTTACCATAGGAAAATATTGGCATACAAATATAATCACTTCTATAAAAGGTAACACATTTTAAATATAGTTAGACATATTAAGGGTAATTTACAGCATTAATCATTGATATCTAATTATTGACTGTCAATGGTTTTCATTTATTTAACATGAGAAATGTATTAGTCTGGCCAATATCAGAACCACAATCAAGACATTAATGCTGAAGGGCCAATGGATCTATGGTGGGGGTCAGCACAAAGGTCAAGGAAACCCACGTTTGAAAGGGAGACAACGGATGACCAAGAAACTAGTGACTTGCTCAATTCATTTGTGAGGGATCTGTGAAGAACATGACAACAGCTGCACTACTGGTATTTAGTATACCAGCAATTGAGGGTGGACAAGTTTACTACCACTTATGTTTCAAATAATTGTGTTAATTACTTCTTGTAAATAATTTGAACATTCGTTTGTGTCACATGTTCATTATTAAGTTGATGTATAACTGTATAGTATCTTAATTATTTTAAATATAAGGTGACTAAAAATGGCAACCGTATTTTCAGTTTTGGCAACCAAACGGTGATGCCTGGTTGCCAACCTGGCAACCACTTTTAAAAGTTAGCGTTGAGCCCTGGACCTTTAGATCGCTATCATTTTAGCATAAGTCAATGGAGTTTAACATAGCAGAAATTAGCCTCGCGGCTAACGGACATTTTCTGACTGGTGAAGATGATGAGCTAGTTAAGTAATGTAACCACAGTTAGTCTATGTGTTCTGATCTTAGTAACTATGTAGGCTAACATTAGTTAGGCTATGTGTTGTGGACTAATGCATTCAAGTTAGTTCACATGTTAGTTGTTATTGCCCCTGCTGACAATTGTGTGGATAATATGTAGCCTACAGTCAATGGAATTTCACATTTTGCTCTCCAGTGTATGTTATTTTAATGTTGACCCATAATATTATATCTATATATTTTACAGGAGCATTGTTGAAATTCATAGGTCGAACTAAGCCTGCAGAACCACAAGTCAAGAGGACAGAGGAGCCAGATAGCAGTGGTGACTGAGGCAGAACAAATAAGGAGAGAGGGCCCATGCAGAGAAGCAGACATCATTAGTGAGGAATCAGACCCAAAAGACACGAGGACAGAGGAGCCAGATCGCAGTGGTGAGGAACGCACTGTCATTTAATTTCACTGTAATTTTACTTTTCATATATCACTTTATTCACTATTCAGCTTAGTTATTTATTCAGTTATTTTATTACTGGTATGCTAATTGCGCTATGCGTATTGTTATATATTGTATATATGTATGTATTTACTACTACTACTTACAAAATCGAGGGTTGTAGCTTTGTGTCAGTGCATGTTTCAGGGTTTTTATATGCCTTTGTTCATCTAAATTCTAATACTCATAGGCGACTACAACTCCTGCCGATGCCGAGGCCGAGTTCTCCCTTCCCACCACCCCAGGCTCATTGTGCTAGGTAAAAGTCTCATTCAATAAAAGTAGTCTTTTAAAGGTGGGGTAGGTAATTTTGGAGAAACCGGCTCAAGTGCGCTAGAATTTGAAAATACACAGCCGGAAAAAATCTGCCACTTCCTTACAGAGCCCCTCCTCCAACACGAACGCGCACATGACCAATGAGGGCACGAGATAAGTTTGTGCACAGATGGAAGGCTGACAGGCAGGTAGGCCATCCAGTCATTTCAGCCGGGCCGGCTAAAATGATTGGTCGTGCTTTTTACAGCGCCACGGCTTCCACAGATGACATTTTTTATGGATTTTTTGTCAAAGCATTTAAGATATTCATTGCTATCGGGATGTTAAGAGCATTCCATGGAATATAACAAAAAGTGTATCTCGAGCCGGTTTCTCAAACGTACCTACCCAACCTTTAAAGATGAATGCAATTACATTAAAAAAAGTTTTAAACAGAACTGTTACAGATGCAGGCCCGGTTCCAGAACAAAATGACTCAGGGTGCATCTGAGATTAGACAGGGTGCAGTGCTATTTTTATAAGTGGGGAGTTGACCTAACACCCTCTAGGGGGGTCCTCACCTCCTCTAGAGGGGTCCGGGGGTATGCTCCCCCGGGAAGATTTATTTTTAAATATTTAAGTTAAAAGTATCAATCTGGTGCACTTTGAGAGCAAAATGAAGAGATCTATGGATACATCTCAACACCCATATGAAACAGAACTGTTTCAGAACCTCTCCTTCCACAAAGCCACTGACTTCATGTGCTCTTTTCTTGATTCATGCCTTCCCAGTCCCTTATCACGTACAAGAGCATGGCGCCAGTTGTTGTAGCCAGTTGTGGTGAAGGCATCTGACGTACTTGAACCGAAATGTCTACATGCATAGCAGAAGATGGCATCTTTTTTACATGAATTTTCCAGCCAATCTCTGTTTTGAAACCATAAGCTGCAAAATGAGCGCCTTACCCCACTGTACAGTCGAGTTGGGTACTTTTTTAAATATACCTGTTTTGCCGAGGTCCTCTGGCACTTGCGGGCCGCCGAGGGGTGGCAGTGTTTGGGGCAAAGAAGACGGCTGCGGGCAAAGCCAGCATTCGGGCGGGAGGACGTTGTTGTCCACGACAGTGGCCGCGGGTAACGTAATATCCCCATGATCTGAACTGTTATTACCTGCAGTAGATGCAGTGTTACTGCTGGCGATACTGCTGCTGGTTGTTTTAACCATTTTCTGATGTACATCATTGACTACTGTGTAAGCATTTTGCAGATGACGAATGCGCATGTGGTGGTTGTATTCTCCAGCCACCTCCCTTGTGTGTGTTTTCCCTTCCCCTGTCTGTGTGGGCGTGGTGGCTGTCACTCCTGGCTCCCGGCTCAACCTCCACCTGCTGCAATCAGTTGGGCACCCTCCTCTGCTACACACCTGATTTCCATCAGCCATTACTAATGGCATATCAGCGGAGGCTCCACAACCTGTCAGCGCCAGATCGTTGTTTAAACCCCAGTGGTAAAACTCTCAGCCTTCTCAGCCTTCTTAGAATTAGTTAGCTATTTCCGCTACACTTGAATGTTCTTCTTACCTGTTCTTCTTGTGCTCCAGGATTACTCTCCAGCCGGATTACTCTCCACGCTCCTCCACCTCAACAGCCGCTAGCAACCGGATTACTCTCCACGCTCCTCCACCTCAACAGCCGCCAGCAACTGGATTACTCTCCACGCTCCTTCTCCTCAAAATAAAACCTTTGTAACACTCTGCCGTGTCCTGCGTTTGGGTCCTCTCAGATAACCGTAACAGCGCAGCGGCACAGGTCACGCGCACCTGACATGATAACGTTACTTGCCGTTTAAATTGACCAAATAAATGCAGCAGACAATGTTATTTAACCACAATTACATTTATTTTAACTATATTATTCTTCTTCTTATTCTTATTATTATATATGTCATATTTTTCACTTTTAATTTTTCAAATGAGGGTGCATAACGACTCAACTGAGGGTGCAATGCACCCTTATGCACCCCCGTAGAACCAGGCCTGTGCAGATGCTTGGTCCAAATTCCATAAAATATACCTACCAATACCACACTCAGACGAAAATGTACAAAGCCTATTCTTCCACTATTTGCAATACATTTTCCCTTCATTATGTAATAACACCTCCTTTTGTAATAATTTGCCCATTACGTAGTAAACAAGTTCAATGCAAATATGTAATGTCGCATATTGCAGTGGTTATTACAAAATGAGTTGCAAACAATAACATTACAACTGTTTATTTATTTATTCAACCATGAATCATCCTTACTCATAATTTAAAAATATTTCAGTAGAATATCTTTCATTTGCCAAAACTAGATCAAGTGTTACCATATTCATTAGCCAACATGTATATCAACATTTTGGGATATATTTACAGTTTGGTTATGGTTACATAATTAATATTACAGTTTTTTAAAAGGGCAACTCACGCATTTTGTAATAACCATTGCAAAATGTAATAATTTATTACAAAATGTAGGGAAATGTATTTTATATTGCGTTCAGGCTGTTGATTACAGAATGCAGCAGATTATTACAACATGTGGGTTTTATTACATAATTACGTGAAAATTGTCTTGAGTCATTACATAATGTGTTTATAGGCCTTTTCTTTTATTCTTTCCTTGTTCTTCTTTTAATGAGTATTTTGATAGCTGTTACACATTGATAGAAAAAACGAATTAAAGACTTTTTTTATCAGAACATGCATTTCTCCTCATTGTGAACATATATTGCACTCATGTTCGGAATATATGGTACGTACATGGTCTTTTATAAATCTGAATATATAGTGCATACATGTCCCCATATAATTGTGAATATATAGTGCATACATGTCCCCATATAAATCTGAATATATAGTACATACATGTTCCCATATAATTGTGAATATATATTACATATATGTTCCCATATAAATCTGAATATATAGTGCATACATGTCCCCATATAATTGTGAATATATAATACATACATGTCCCCATATAAATGTTAATATATAGTAAATGTATGTTCACATATATACAAAACCAATATATTATATATATTTATATATATTACTTAATATATGGAAAGCGGCAATTACTTATGTATTATCCCATATATTGCAATATATTAACACAATATATTCTATATTGTAATATATTAACACAATATAATATTCTATATATCTTCAATATATTTTGTAGATATGAATAAATAAATATGTTTTTCAAGTTGATTATTAATCAGTATCAGTTGGTGTAGCAAACAGCAAGATTTATTTGATTAAATCTTTTCAATTAACCAGTAAATCAGAAAACAAAATAATGCAATATATTGACAGTTAATATATGGGGGAAATATATTTTCTTTGCGTAAGGAGGGCCTCGCACGGCTTAGTACGGTATAGTTAGGCCTTGGTTGGCCGGACACACTTTATGCTGCGTTTCCATTACAGTTTAGTAGCTGGGGCAGTAACTATAGTAACGCAGTGTAGCCGTGACGTCATCTTCAATGCGAACCACAGAAAACCAACATCAGCCGTTAGCTGTTAGCACTCAGAGCTCACAGCTCCTCATATCTGTTCAGAAACTAGACAAAAGTTAAATAAGTGCAAACCACAGACTGTCTGTGTCATGTTGAATACAGTCGCTGGTTTATTTATGTCTGTATAGTAGGGTCACCAGACGTCCCCGTTTTCCGGGGACAGTCCCCGTTTGTATTGGCCTGTCCCCGGTTGAAACTGTCCCCGGAAATGTCCCCGTTTTTTACACATAGCAAGGTGAAATAAAACGTTTCATGTCAGGAAACATTGGGTAAACAGACTGTGGTCAAGCCAGCCCCCACTTCGGAAAACACAGTCAAGCCAGCCCGCACGTTGTATTGCGGTGTGCGAATATCCTATGCATTGCGGTAGAGGCCTGTAAAAACTGCCTTCAAAATAAAAGCGCAAAAAACACACCAAACATATTCATATATACTGGAGCTTAAAGGTGGGGTAGGTAAGTTTGAGAAACCGGTTCGAGATACACTTTTTGTTATATTCCATGGAATGCTCTTAACATCCGATAGCAATGAATATCTTAAGTGCTTTGACAAAAAATCCATAAAAAAATGTCATCTGTGGAAGCCGTAGTACTGTAAAAAGCACGACCAATCCGTTTAGACTAAACGGCTAAACGGATTGGTCGTGCTTTTTACCGCCCTGTCTGTCAGCCTTCCATCTCGTGCACGCACAAATGTATCTCGTGCCCTCATTGGGCATGCCGTAATTGGGCATGCATTGCGCGTTCATGTGTGTTGGAGGAGGTGCTCTGTAAGGAAGTCTGAAGGAAGGGGCGGATTGTTTTCGGCTGTGTACTTTCAAATTTTAGTGCACTCGAGCCGGTTTCCGAAACTTACCTACCCCACCTTTAAGTTAAGAAATATGTACTATATAATGTGATCAATAATAATTTAAAACAAACTACGTATAGCTACCACATTATAACTGAGTGAATGTAAGTATACAGTTATGAAGACATATATCTGACATTTCCACTGGGTGACTCATTTCAATTGATGTTGACACCATCTCACAACACTCCTAAAATAACATTACTTTCTGAAACACAATTTAAAATGTATGCTGTTTAAAGTCTCAAATTAGATCTATATTGTCCATCTATATTTTGATTATTATTTAATGGAAACTGTCCTTAATCAATGAGTCATTCAAAGTCAATCAAATACTTATTTCACTTCAGGGTGATAGGAGACCCCATCGAGTCAATCAGAGAAAATCAGGACAATCTGATGTATAATTTCAAAATAAAATACTTTTGAAATCTCATATATGGGCTATCGTCCTTCTGTTTTTATACAAGAATAAGTAAAAAACTGTCAAATTATCAAAGACTTATTTCACTCTGATAGCAGGACACCCCATCTAGTCACTCAGAGAGAATCAGGACAATCTGATGTAGAGTTTCAAAATATAAGACCTTTAAAGTCTCATATGAGCTATCATCCCTCTGTTTTTAGATAAGAATAAAACAAAAACTATCCACTATCAAAGACTTATTTCACTCCAGGGTGATAGCAGGACACCCCATCTAATCACTCAGAGAGAATCAGGACAATCTGATGTACAGTTTCAAAATAAAATACCTTTGAAGTCTCATATATGATCTATTGTCCTTCTGTTTGTATCCAACAGTTCAAATGTTCGAATTACATTGAACCAGAATTGTCCCCCTTTTTTCTTTAACAGTGAAGAAAATTGGATATGTTAATGATATATTGACCGCAAAACTCAAAATGTCCCCAGTTTTAATTTAGAAAATCTGGTTACCTTACTGTATAGGCCGTTGTTGTGAGTGTGGACGGTCGGAGCATGTACTGCGTTAGCTTAGCCAATCTCCATTCAGAAAACACGCATTCTAAAAGGTTTTTCGCCTGCCGTCTGTCTGCAGACTTGTCAAAACATTAATTCATGTTTTTACTAACCGGTATCAGTATGTTGTTACTTCGGCATCATTTTGAAACGTGTATTACAATTAAATCACGGTAAAATATGTTCATTTTGTTGTAGTTGTAGCCCCCTTGCCAGCGATTCTCTCACTAGTTTAGCATATTCAGCCCGGTTGTTGGCCCGGAAAGAACCTGGATTTTGGAGGGCCAGAAAAACTGTGAAACAGTACCCGTTAGCCGGAACTACCCCTAGTGGAAACGCAACAAAAAACGGGCCAAGTTTGGCAAGGCACGCTTAGACCGTGCTACGCGCTGCAGTGGAGATGCGTCATAAGTAAGGCTAGCGAAATAGTTTAGCAGCATTGCCAACATACCAATAATATTCTCAGCATGATATAAATAATGCAACACCATGAAATAAGGGAGAAGTGAGTTGTTATTATTATATATGAACAGTACAGCAGAAGCTTCACAACTTATATCGTCAATTGACTACACCGGACATCTGCATCATCTGGGCAAACTGCATGTACAAGATATGGAAACCAACCTGTATTTACAAAATACATTCCCCTGATAATGAATCATTCAGAGCTGGGTTGTTTTGATCCTGCCTCTTTTATTTGCATGGTCTGCTTGATGTTGACACAGTGCTTTATCAATCTTTTACATAATGGTGTTAAGAGCGACTGACATTTGTACATTTCATGATATACTATCTGCTTTTGTTGGTCCAGTCCCTGCCCTTGTTTTATCTTGGGGTTTTCACACCCGTTTATCAAAAGTTGATAGGGTTTTGAAAACTGTAGGATTCTGAAAAGTTTTGCTGAGATGAAATGCCAAAAATATTCTGCATTGTTCTTAATCAACCAACTAAATGTGCTGAAAACATGTAAAATGGTTTGACTGTGACTGACCGTCTGATGTGTTGGTCCTCCTTGGTGTTTGGGATGCAGTGCATATTGTTGTCTCTTCCATTGACAAATAACTTATTTTCTCTCTTTGCTCTTGAACCTCTCTCCTTGAGACGCAACTCAGGCCATGTGCCCCTGGGACATTTGTCAATCCTGTTTTTCATCCTGTCTTTCGGCATTATCATTTTCTATATCTGAGCACAGGGGAATGGGCAAGCCTCCTCTCAGTCGCCGCAGTCATAAAGGAATAATAAT